AATGTCAATGTTTGAATTTTAGGCATAGGTGGTAGAAGAGTTTTCTTCATTCATTAATCTTTCCTTGTAGCATCTTCTTCTTTCTTTAGTAATTTATTTTTCCTTTCTCATTTTTGCTATGTATCTTTTCCTTTTATCTCTCCCTCCCTCTTTATGCTTCTGGAATTCCTTTTTTCTCTTTCCACTATCATCCTTTTTCATTTTGATCAATGCTTGTCCATCTTTTTGCCAATCTGATTTGCTAGGTCTTTTATCTTGCAATACTAACTCTTATCTAATTGCAGTGTTTCTTCCAAACTGTCAGGGACTTGGCCAGCTCTTGTCGGCCTCATGTTCACAGGCCATCCTTGAGATGTGAAGTGGGACAGGGAGGGCTCTGTGGACAGGAGCTTTCCTTCATGAGCCACTTTGGCCCCATCACTGAGCATAATCCTGTAGAATCAAGGTGTCTTGGGTAGAACCCTGGCCGTGGAGGGCCTTCCTAGTTGACATGTACAGACTCATGTACTCCCTCCCCCAACACACACACATCAACTCTTATAAATGGGATTTGATATAGACTTTAATTTACAGTTTGCCTTCAAGGAATTTAGTTGCAGTTCTTTAAGATATGCTCTCTCAACAGAATCAGTTTTAATAAAACATAAATTAGTGGATGGGGGCTTAAATTTGCCAATCCAGATAAAGTGTACAGGGTCATTGTAATGTGAGCTTTCTAAATCAGAACTTGCTGGAATAAATTTGATGCCTTGGGGAAAAGTTGGCAATATACTCAACTAATTAAGCAGAAAGAAACAGTGACACCACCTTTGGAAGGAATCTAAGATGCCATATAATTCCACTTTATTCTTAGGAAACCTTGATTACTATGACATAGGTGATCCAGATAAAACATTAGTTTCAAGACCTCGAGGGAGGGAGATACTGACTTGTTTCCAATTAAAGAGCATATCGCGGGAGGCATCAAGACTTGATCCCAATTCTTGGCAATTTGCAATATGGAAATTTGGAGTTTTTCCCCCTGAGAAAGTTACCTTAAAGTTACTATGTGATTCTTTATTCTTAAGAAGAAAAGTCTTTGTGCAGTCTCAGAGTAGAAGCATCTTTACAGTAACTTTGGAGTGACCCACCCTAATGTCCATTAAGATGAACTTATGTGAAGGCATATGTGAAAAATATAACACAAACCATTTTATGTAACTTGTTAGCCATATTAGCATATTAATAACATAGCCTTGCTTGCTCTTTTTTTCTCTCTCTTTCTCTTTCTTTCTTTTTTTCGTCTTCTGGCAACTCATTCTCCTTAGGTTTGATATATTCTAAACTTTTGTTGAAAGGAGAATAACAACTTGATTTTGAAGTTGGGAAAAAGTTCTCGGGCCTGGAAATGATTAAGTGGTTTGTCTCCTACTTACATGGTGAGCAATCATTTCTATAAAGGTAGAGATAATGGGAAGTTTCCTAGGGCAAGCGGACAGTATACTATAATTTAGGTTCATTGGTTCATATTTGTGTGCTTTTAAAGGTTTGGGGCAAATTCAGACAGATTCTAGCATGTCTTATGTTGACTCATTAGGCCACCCTAACAATTCCATGAGCTTGAAAAATCATAAATACAAGCATGGAAAGCAGAGTGTAGACCAAGAAGAGAACTCATTGTTCATGGTGTCCAGCTGCTGGTAGAGACTCTGAGGTCCACAGAGCTTGTGTGAGGCCCTCTGCCTGGCCGTGCTGTACTCTGCGGGCTGGGACCACAATGCTGCTGAATCAATCAGACTGCCCTGACATCAAGAGGGATACTAGTAATTGCTTTTCAGAGTGGAACCATTTTTTACCCCAGGCTTTCTTAGGAAGAGGACTAACATTTACTTGCAGATTGGCTAGGACAAGATATACAGGATATGGTCATAGACCAAAGACTATTTGCTGCACTCAGTTTACTGACCTCATCAGAAATTATATCCTTGATTTCTTATTGAGTTGAGAATTAAATCTTCCCACAATTTGGCATATAGGGCTAGATATCTATGAAACACTTGATATCTGTGAAAATGGGCAAGAGATAGAGATACTCTAAGAGATGGAGAAATACAAATAGCTGAATGTTTGGCTTTGAGATGCATTGCATCTAAAAAAAAATCAGAGGATTAGAATGACTTTCAAGTCCAAAGAAAATCTGTACACCTTTGTATTTATAAATATAAACAAAACCACATGATATTGCTTGTTTGGTAGGTCAAAAATGGTCAACTATCAACAATGTCTTACATTTTGACCTGATATTATATAATAAAGATCTGTGGGGAATTAGAGAGTATCTATGCATTTCAGATGACTATGGGTTTTGCAATCATATTGTTCTCCTTAAAAATTCATTGGACCATGACAGATCTTCCTTGGCTGCGGTGAACTGATACTGATCCTGAAAAATAGGAGTGAATGAATGAGCCACATCCTGGGCTGTGCTTTATGTGCGTCCAGATCTGACCCTCTAGGCAGCTGCAATCTTTTATCTTCCTTTAGGTTTCACTTCTCAAAAGGCACAAGCAGCATTTTTCAGGCTGGGTGTCTCCCCTCAAGTCTTGTCTTTCGTCCCCTTTGCTGTCTTACTGATGCGCTCCTTTGTGTTCCTACATGCTCCGACATTTGTGCTTAGCTAAATGATGGCTAATAGCAGTGGGAGAGGCTGCCAGCTATTATGGGAGCTTTGTGTGGAGCCTCTCTGACCTTTTTATTATATAAAGGTGTTAAGCTAGTTATTAAGGGAAGAGACACTGAAAAGAAACCCTAAGAGAAAAAAAGTGGCAAAGCCAACCTACTTACAAATCTGTGGACCTTTAATTATCTCGGAAGCAAGAACTTCCTCCATAGGACTGATGGAAAAATTTCAAGTCGAAGGCTTATCACCTATGATAACCCTGTGTTGACATCAATGACAGGTTTTCTGGATTAACGAATCAAGAACTGTCAATTTTAGGAGCTCAGACTTTAGGGGTCCAGAAAGCTGTTACTCATAGCGGGAAACAGAAAAGCTGATTCAGATATGGACTTTGCTGAAAAGGGTAATGCTGTTTGGTGATTCAGGTCTTGCTCCTCTATCAGGGAGATGATGTAACTCAGACAGTGCAAGGGCTGATGTGTATCAGACAATGTTCAGGCTCTACTTCAAAATTCTGATTAGGCTAACTGTGCTAGCCTAATCTCTTGCCCTTTCTTCTCCTTATTCAATGTGCAGTAACAATTTTGTATATAACAAAATACCAGCCTTGTTTTGGCAAAGGATAAGAAAATCTTATTTGGACTTTTCAGTGTGTCGTGTCCTGGTCCTTTGAGACCTCACCACAGCATTCACTATCCCTAACAGTTTTTGAGGTTTGAAAGTGTGTGTGCTTCCCTTTATTGTTATTTTTTTCCCTTTGGGTGCACCTCTGCATTTCAAGATATATTATTATAAATATTATCATTTCCAGGCCAAACACAGGCATAAAACCCTTGGAAGGACACAATAAAATGCATACATTGTACAAAAATGAAAAATGATGTAAGAATTATATATTAAAAAAAGATTAAAGATTTTCAGAAAAAAATTGGGTAAGCTGTTCATAAGCATCTAAATTTGGGGGTGCTTAAAATACAAAGTATTGAAATGTATCACTAGCCCAAATCCTCATCTGACCCAGATCTTTTCATAGTAATAGACCTTGAAGGTTGAGCTCTGTTTGGCTGTCAGAGACCCTCATGTTCTATCCAGGATTGATTTTTTAGTTTTGAAAAGACAAGGGTCAATTTCTCTGAGGAAGCTGCTGTTTATTTGGTAGACCTTACTAATCCTTTTCCATTATAACAAAAAGACAATATAGTTTATCAAAGAAGTAAAAACAGACTGTTGCTGAATATTTTCACATGCTCACTGGCACTAGGAGTCTTGTGCGTTTTGTTTTTGTGAGATATCTAGGTTACATGAATAATACACTGGGAGATTTGGGTAATTTCTCAAACATTATTTTTGGTAGTTTCAGAAACCCAGCCCAAGAGGAATGTATATGTTTGTATAATTCCTTTTCTCAGGGCACAGGAAAGGCAACCGCATGGAATCAATACCGAAAGTACCTTGCTAGGAGGAAGCGAACCTGTGGTCTCTACGTTCTGAATCAGGTTCTTGTTAAGCCTTTTAACCTTCTTGATACTGTCATTCAAACATATTTTGTATTCTTTTCTTTTTCTATTTATCTGATTTGACTCCAGTCCATTTTGTGGTGTTGGCCGGGTTTTTGGTTTGAGTCAAAGTTTCCATACAACCCAAAACGCCTTTGCTCTTGTTCTGAGAATGCTCCGTAGGTCAAGAATAGAGAGCTGAGAAAAGCTTGTAAGAACCTGTCTGGCAAGCAAGTTTGTGTCTTTCTCTTTTTTTCTCTCCCTTCTTTTAATAAAAGGAAAAACAAGAGGTCTTAGCTGAAGTACTGGAGATGCCGTGAGGATGCACGGTAGCTACCCATCGTTCTGGACTTTGTGATGGTTCATGTGCCTGATGCCTTGGCATGGGTGAAGTGGCTGTTCTCGGAGTAGGAAGATGAAGTGATACCTGCCTTCATTTATGGGGCCAGATGCCAAGTCTGGACTTGTGAACTCTCAGGAGATGGGAGGGGTCCCCTTCAGCTATGATTGGTGCTGAACACCCAATTGTGAAGTTCATTCAGGGAGAAAAGTCAATTTTCAAAGGGCAGGTCAGTCTGCAGCAAAACCACAGCATTTTGTCCTTTGGTGCCCCAAATGCAGAACCAATGCAATTATCTGGGTGAATCAAACCACAGAATCTTTCATACTGTGAGGTCATAAGGAAAGGTTATTGACCATGCCTTTCCCTTTCTTGCCATAAGTTTTCTCTTCCCTCAGAGCTTATCTCTGTTAGTGACCTCCTGCACTTTTCCTAATAAGTGTACCACCTCCCTGCATTTCTGTCCTGCAGCCTCCTGGGAACTTGTGAATTCAGCGAACTTACTGCTTTACCATTCTCCCCAAATGCCGTGGAGTCTTCCTTAAAACAGCAGTAAGCTAGCTGATTCCTGTGTTTATTTTTTTTTTTAATGCAGGGGGACGTAACTAGTGGAAGAGAAGAATAAAAAGAGGGAAAAGGAGGAAGGGACAGATATTTATTGAGTGATTGATTGCTATGAGCCAGGCATCCTGCTTGACATTTTATGAACATCATCTCATAAACTTGTATAATAAAATCAAGATATTGGAGGTTGAAGTCATTAGGATAATTATGTCCATTCTCTACCTCATTTTAGTAAGTAGATACAGCTTTATTTGTTTGATCCCTTTCCTGTATGACATTCTATGGATCAGACTCTGTCTTGAGACCAACGAATATTAAATTGTATTTATCATAAGTAAAACCAGTCTTTAAACTACTTTGTACACAATCTTAGCAAATTTAATAGTTCTTGGAGGCAGTCTATCGTGGCGTTTAGCTGGGCAAAAGGCCTGAACTCAATTTAGAAGTTTATAATAAACTATGGGAGTTTCCAGCTCTCTATCCTTCAGTTTCTCATCAGTATGATGGAGATAAAAATAGTACCTACCTCATAGGATGATTGTGAAAATTAGTTGGCACCCAATAAGTGTAAGACATTTTTTATTATTAATTATCTAGCTCAATGGCATAAGCAGATACTGGTTCTAAGGATATTGTACTAAAAGTGGGCATGAGCAAGATTACAAAATCAAGGACAATATGGGTAAGGAAATAATGTAAAATTATTTATAAGTAATACAGAAGGAACTATAACGGTCTCAGATTTCTCCTTTTATTTCCACTCCCACAGTTGGTAGAAGACCTACCAGCTCATATCCAAAACATGGTGTCCAGCTACCCTAATGACTTAATAATTTTTTTCTCTTATCCTAAAACATACTTTTGTTGTGTCATTCTCTCTACTAACACATCCAGACCTCACTGCCTTTCTGCCTTTCTGTTGACACCCCTATTTCTCAATGTAACAGTTAAAGCTCTCAAGATTAGACTCTATTCTCCCATGATAATCTGTTTCCCATGATTGCTAGCACAAATGCCTTGTGTCATTTGGCTTATAATTTTAAGAAACCAGCTTCATTCTTCATCCTTTAGCCCTACAACATACATTCAGGACTTTACATTGAATAGTCTTTCCCCTTTCCTCTTCATCTATACAAATTCTCTCTTTCTTCCTCTCTTTTGATATATATATATATATATATATATATATATATATATATATATATATATCTTTAATTTAGTTATGCATACAAGAACTGGGGTCTAGGCTGGAGGTGTGAAGGGTGAGAGGATTCACCAGAGACAGAATAGGGAGCAGAACAGGCGGATTGACTGAAATACACTGCTGAGGGGAACAGCAGGTGAGACAGGAGAGGTCTGCCGCACCATGTGGGTTAACTCCCTGGCTGGGGATCAAACTCATGCTGCAGTGGCTGGCAATAGCTTGATAGTGCTGATACTTAACCCCTGCAGCACCAGGAAAGCCATATTATAATTTTTAAATAAAAAATGTAAAACATAGCTTCCAAAGTTATTTTGGTAATGTACATATTTTCCTGGGAAAGTCTTCACAGCTTTATCTGCTTAATTATATCTATGATTATAACTGCTGTCATAATAATCAACCAATTGTTTAAATATTAAATCAATCCAAGACAAAGTTGATGAACAACAGTGACAGAATCAGCACATGACTCTCTGTGGAGCATTTTAACTCCATTCCATACATTCATATGCATCCTTTTATGTTACTTACCCACTCAATCATTTTTATTAATTTTTAATAAAATTTGGTTTAGGTGGAGTTGATTTATAGCACTGTGTAAGATTTAAAGGTATAGGTTCACACCCCTTCAGATATTTGTTACCACACCATACCCACTACCACTCCCTATCATACTACTCTCCCTTCTGGTAGCCTCAATTCTAGGTTTTATTTTGGTTTAGTTTTGTCTGTCCATTTGTTTTGTGTGTTTCTATATTCTGCGAAAGAGTAAAATTATCTGGTATTTGTCTTTCTCTTTCTGACTTATTTATTTCAGCATAATAACTCCCACTCTGTTCTGTGCATATTTATATAATTGTCAGGATTTCATCTTTTTGATAGCTGAGTAGTATTCCAATGAGTATATATACCATTTCTTCTTTTTTAAAAGTTTAAAAAAAAATTGTTTATTTTCTGACATCATTGTTGTCCCTGTAGTTCTCCCACCATCATAGCATCTGTCAACCATCGCCATATTCCCTTGTGCTCTTTCCTCCCCTCTTTTGACCCCTCTCCCTGTCACTTCCTTGCTATTTGCTTCAAGTCCATAGTCAGCTTGCAAGTTTTGTCTTTTTTCCTGATGCTTTGTTTGGTTTTCTGATGTTCCACCTATAAATGAAACTACTTAATATTGTTCTTTTTTCCTTCTGACTTATTTCACTTAGCATAATCCCTTCCAACTCCACCCAGGTTACTAAAAATGGCATGAGTTTATGTGTTTTGATTGCTGAGTAGTGTTCCACATCTTCTTGATCCTGTCATCTGTTTTTGGGCATTTAAGCTGGTTCCATATCTTAGCTATTGTAAATAGTGCTGCAATGAACATAGGAGTGCAGATTTCCCTTTGAATTAGTGTTTTTGTGTCCTTTGGGTTTATTCTCAAGAGTGGAATCACTGGATCATATGATAGATCCATTTTTAGTGTTTTGAGGGTCTTCACGTAGCTTTCCATAGTGGTGGACCAGTTTGCATTCCCCCCCAAAATGTAAGAGGGTTTCTTTTTCTCCACATCCTTGCCAGCATTTATTGTTTCAAGTTTTGTTTTTTTTTTAAATATGGGCCATTCTCACTGGTATAAGGTGGTATTTCATTGTTATATACCATATCTTCTTAATCCACTCATCTATCATTGGGCACTTAAGTTGTTTCTATAATTTGATATTGTGAATAGTCCTGCAGTGAAAATAGGAGTTCATACTTAGTACCTATTAGAAGCAATGTCAATAAAGTGGCATGCTACTATATCAATATACAAAAATCAGTTTTGTTCTTATGTACAAACAATGAACTAGAAGAGAAACAATTTCAAAGAAACAATTTCCTTTTATAATCACATCAAAAAATTAAATATCTAGGAATCAACTTGATAAATATATATACCTGAATAACCACCATCACAATCAAGACACAGAAATATTTAACCACCCCAGTAAGTTTTCTGTGTCCCTAAGTAATAATTCTCCTTCCCTGAGCCCAACCAACTTTAATCTTCTTTCAGTCACTATAAATTAGTTTTCCCTGTTTCATAATTTAACTTATGATATAATACACTGTGCACTCATTTTGTAAGTGGCTGCTTTTACTCATCTTAAGATTTTTCAGATTTATCCATGTTTTTACCTGTATTGATAATGTGTTCCTTTTATGGATGAATAGTATTCCATTTAATGGATAGAGCACTATTAGTTTTTTCTTTTATTGCATGTTAAACATTTGGGTTTCAACGATATTGTGAGTAAAGCTTCTATGAGTGTTCCTACATGAGTTTTTTTTTTTAAATAATAAATTTTATTTTTATATTCCCCATACAATTGCAACTCCCCCATGATGAGTTTTTTTTTTTTAAGTCAATCTTTAAGTAGAGTTGCTAGATACCATGAAACGTGTGTGTTTAACTTTCTACCAGCAATGTTTGAGGGCTCCAGTTGCTCTATTTCCTCACCAAGATTTTATATTGTCAGTCTTTTTAATATTTATACCAGTAAACATGAAATCATATTTCTTGTTTTTAATTTTTATTTCTCTAATAACTAATCATGATAAGAGTCATTTTGTGACTTATTGGTAATTTTTCTAAATTCTTATATGATGAATTTAAAAAATCTTGCAATTTGGGGCCTCCCCGGTGGCGCAGCGGTTGAGTGCTGGGTTGTGAAGCTGCCTGCAGCCTCTGCAGCACCGGTTCCATCCCCGGCTGCCGGGTGAGGGTCCCACATGGCGCGTAGACCTCTCCTGCCGCCTGCTGCTCCCCTCAGCAGTGTGTTTCGTCAGTCTGTCTGTTCTGCTCCCTGCTCTGGCTCTGGTGAATTCTCTCACCCTCCCACGCTTCTGACTGTACCCAGTGCTTGTATAAATAATAATAAAAAAATCTTGCAATTTAAAAATTAGATTATCTCATTTTGAGTTGTAAGAATTCTTTGTATATTTTGGACATAAGTTCTTTGTACTGCAAGTATTTTCTCCCAGTATGTGATTTTCTTGTTCAATTTTTTAATTGTGTATTTCTAAGACAAGGTTGCCAGTGTGCCAAAGTATAATTTTTCACTAACTCTTCTATGATTAATGCTATGCTTGAGTTCTCTGAAAATTCATTGCTTACTCCAATGTTGCAGAGAATTTTTATGATCTATTTAGAACTATCTTAGTTTTACTCTATAATTTGGTCTATGATCTATTTATTTTTAATATTTATTTTTATTTATTTATGCATACAAGGACTCTGTGTAGGCCAGAGGTGCAGGGAGTGAGAAATTTCACCAGAGACAGAGTGGGGAGCAGAACAGGCAGATGTACTGAAATACACTGCTATGGGTAGCTGTGGGCAAGGCAGGTGAGATCTGTCTTGCCATGTTAGCTCTCTGGCTGGGGATCAAATCCATACTTCAGTGGCTGGTGATAGCTTGGTAGCACTGAGAATTTAACCCCTGTGCCACCAAGGATACCCTATTTGATCTATTTTAAATTAATTTTGCATATGGTGAAAGTAAGAGATGGAAAAAAATATCCTTTCTGTGTTGAATTACCTTGGTAAAACTTAGTCAAAAAATCAATTGACCATATATATTTGGATCCATCTGCATTTTTAAAATTTTATCTCATTGATCTATTGATATATTCAACCATAGTACATGAAATCAGGCATGAACTTTGTTTCTTTTTTAAATTGCTTTGGTTGTATTACTCTCTTTTGAATTGCCTATACATTTTAATAGGAATATAAGTAGATTTAGATCTATTTTTAGAGGGCCTCTCTGGTGGTGTAGGGGTTAACACAGCACTATCACGATAGTTATCACTGCTGTGGCATGAGTTGGATCTCCAGCCAGGGAACTGACTTACATATGGCACAGCAGACCTCTCCTATCTCCCCTGCTGCTCCCCTTAGGAATATATTTCAGTAAATCTGCCTGTTCTGTTCTCCATCCCATCTCAGTTGAATCCTTCCCGCTCCCTCTCCACACACACCTCTGGCCTACATCCCAGTTCTTGTATACATAAATAAATAAAAATAAAATCTTAAAAAAAAATCTATTTTTAGAAAAACCTTTCCCTCTGCAGTTTTAATTGGGATTACACTATATCTGAAAAACTCATTTGGGGAGAATGACATTTTAACAATAAAGAGGCTTCCTAATTTTGTAAAATCCCCCTTTCTTTTTGAAATATCTATTTTTTAAGATGTTACTACTTTGTCTCTGAACTTGTCCTTTTCAAATAGAGAAATCATACAAATTATAATCTTTAATTCTTTAGTAGGTCTTTTTTTTTTCCCTCTCTGGATGTTTTTAACATTTTTCTCTTTATCACTGGTTTTTACCAATTTGGTTATGACATATCTTGGAGTGGTTTTCTTTTTCTTCTTTTTTTTTTTTAATAGAGGCATGTTTTATTTATTTATTTATTTGTTTGTTTGTTTTGTTTATACAAGCACTGGGTACAGTCAGAAGCACGGGAGGGTGAGAGAATTCACCAGAGTCAGAGCAGGGAGCAGAGCAGGCAGAAGGACCGAAGTACACTGCTGAGGGAAGCAGCGGGCGGCAGGAGAGGTCTGCGCGCCATGTGGGACCCTCCTCCAGTGGCCGGGGAGCAGCCGGGGATCGAACTGGCACCGCAGAGGCCGCGGGCAGCTTCGCAACCCAGCGCTCAACCGCTGCGCCACCTGGGAGGCCCTGGAGTGGTTTTCTTTGTGTTTATTTTATTTGGGATTTCTGGGACTTAACTATATACATGCTCATCATTTGACATGGTCTCACATACTGAGACTTTGTTCATCTTTTTCCATCTTCTTTCTTCCACAGTGCTTAGGTTTAGATAGTTTCTATAATCTAGTTGCTAATCAGATGCAGTTATAATTATAATAAAAATTATACAGTTACAATTTGATAATCTACCTACATTATTTTTCTGTGGCTCCCCTAACAAAATACCATCAACTAGATGGCTTGAAACCACAGAAATTGATTGTGTCACAGGTCTGGAAGCTGGACTTCTGATATGGAGGTGAAACCTTTTGGAGAGAATATTTTGTTGTCCTCTTTAACTTCTGGTGCTTGCTGTTCTGTGTCTGCTGGAAGAACTCTCCAATCTCTGCCTCCATGGTCTCATGGCATCTTCTCTTTGTGTCTCTTGCCTCTTCTTATGAAAACCTAGCCAGATTGGATTAAAGACCTGTCTACTTCAGTATAATCTCTCTAATCACATAATCAGTGGTGCTATTTCCAAATAACATCCATTCTGAGGTTTGGGGGTTAGCACTCAAACATCTCTTTTGGGGGACACAACTCAGCCCATAACATCAGTAAAATTTTAATTTGGTGGTATTTTTTTCACCTCTCAAAGTCCCTTTGCTCTTTGTTTTAAAATACATAATTTCATTTCTCACCTTGTATTTCTAATACCGTTTGAAAATCGATGCCTGCTAATTACATCATGTCTAACATTTCTGATTCTATTTATGTTGACTATTTTTCTGCTTAGTTATAGGTGTTTTCCTCTTTCTTTTTGATTGGATGCCAGGTATTGTAAATGTTCAGTTGCTAAGTGCTAGGTTTGTTTTTTTCTTTCTTTAAAGTTATTGGACATTATTCTGGTAGGCAGGTAAGTTACTTGTGGATTAGCTTAATCCTCCTCAGGTTCTTCTTTAAACTCTTTAAATGTGGGTCTGGAATAGCCATTACTCTATGCTGATTTAGCTCTGCTAATAACATGTGACTCTTCTCGAGTCTCTGTTGAGTGCTCCTTATATTCAGGGAGGTCCTTCTTACCTGATGGGTTAGGACATGAATGTCTCCATACCCTGTGGGAACACTGAGAATTGCTCATCCTATAATTCTCCAATGGTTTTCCTTTGCCTGGTCTGATAGAGATTCACTCTACTCACGGGCAATATATTAATCAGAAAAATACTCTAATTCGAGGGGACCCATAGTTCCCTCCCACCTTGCACCCTCCCTTTCTCCATTCCCCAGCTCCCTTCTCCCTAATATTCAGTCCCACAAATTCCAGCTGCTTCATTCTCCTCAGATTCATATTTTAGTTTCTTCAACTCAGCAAGACCATTCTGTCTACCGTCCCAATGTCTGAACACTTATGCTTCAGTTATTTCATCCAGTTTTAAAATCATTAGTGGTGGCAAAAGGGTAAGTCTTATGCCAGTCACTTTCATAAACCGAGTTTCTGTGGTATTTATTTCCCTTTGTTAAGCAGCTGTGTGTCTCACCAAGCTTTCCAGGGTAACTGCTGCCTCTGGCTTACCACATTTCACCAGCACGATCTTCCATGGGGCAAACTTTTGTTCAATCTGCAGAGTAAGTTATGATTGAGTGTAGAGCATTAATATAGCTGTTAGCAGCATTAGTAGAATGAATGTTTATTGCTGATCTTCAAATTGACCTTCAAGTTTAAAGCCTAAAGATTCTGATGGTCTTAACTAACATGTTAAAGCAAAAAATAAGCAAGCAAAATATAACATTATGAAGTCAATGACTGTATACCAGGTGCCAGAGAATATGTTGAAAGCAAAGAAACTACATTAATAACAGCAACTACAATTCAATTTACTACATGATTAAGTTTATGATTACACACTGTCCTCCAGAGTCCATCTGTCTTTATGATGAGCAAAAGAGATTCTTTGGCTAGGGATATGTTAGGAATCACTTCTGATGTATCATTCAAGTCCTTGACGATGGCACTCATCTTTATGGACCTTCCAGAAATGTGGTGTTGCCTTTGATTTATCATTTGGTAGGTGGAGGGAAAGTTCTTGCGTTTTCACTTGGCCTTTCTTGGTATAATAGCCCTCAATCAGTCACACCAGTTGCTGAGAAAATAAATTTCAAGTATCTCTGCTGGAATTTTAAAGAGAACCATGAAGTGCTTTTGGAGACCAACTGGCCCATGCTGACAGAGACCTGGACTGAAATTACATCGATCACTTAACTCCATTAGCCTCGACTACCAGCAAGTTATCTTGTCTTTAGGTCAGGAAGTAGTTCCAGTTCAGAGTCAGTGTCCAGTCATTTACCCCACCGCCACCCCCCAAAAGGTTATTTTTTCCCCTTTCTCACTATGTAGTCACCGTGAACTTGGCTGTGTTCCCTCTGAGGAAAGACTGGGAAGAACCATCACAGCAAGCTGAAGGCACATTTTCCTTTGAAGCACCCAGTATTCCCAGGCCAAACTCATCCCTGATGCTGCTATGCCTATATTGACATTTTTATATACCTCATCCAGGTCAAGTTTCTTTTTCAAGGTGGGAAGTAGTGGCAAAGTATGATTAGGTGATTACCTCTTCACTTTTCATCACCACCTCTTCTCACAGTCCACCAGGCTGGATAGTACAGGCTTTCTGTTTTCCTTTCCTCGTGAAGGAACCCTTCTGATAGCACTGCCTCTCACAATGGCATCTGACCAAGTCTCCCTCATCTATAAAGGTCGATGGGTAGCAGTGCAGATGGAATTCCATATTGGGGAAGATGCAAATGTATTATCCCTGTTATAACTTTATTAAAACGTTGATTATACTTTGTTTTGACTTTAGACTATGGACTCCTTAAGAGTGAGGACTTGTTATTTCATCCCAGTATCCTCATACCTATCACAATTTGGGCATGCTAGGCACTAATTAAATTTGGTTGAACGCAGAGCATGAATGCTTGAGTGCAAATGTAAACTAGTGTTAGTATCAGCAAAAAGGCTGAGTTCTAATTTCAAAATTATGATGATTCTGGACTGTGGGTTGGTAAGGACCTATGTGGTGGGTCACATAGGTTTTTCTAGGGAATTGGCTACATTAAGAATCCTTCCACTTAGCCTAAGGAAGAGTCTTGACACACTGAAACCAATTCTATGAAGAGTTACTAGAGCTATTAAAATAAAAGTAGCCTGACACCCCAGCTTTAGAGGACTGAACTCAGAGAAACACTAATAGTTTTAATGATTCCATGTTTGAAGTTCTGTGAGTGATTCACCTTTAATATATTTAGATTTATTAACTGTTTTGCTTGTGGCAACATATTTTTGGAAATGTTTTCCTTATGATCCAGTAAGGGAGCCTGGCAAGTGAGTGTTAGCTAGTCAGGGTTCTAGAATCAGTAAGTATATGAAAGAACTGACTTCCTCTTTGTGTTTCTTCCCACTCATCCTCTGCTCCTTCTTCGTGGGTGATTCAAATTCGACTGAGGAAGGAACCCTGAAGTTGCTCTTTTCAGGAAAGAGAAGAAATGTGGGAAATGTGAAATGTCCACCACGTGGGTACATAATTTTTTCTTCATTTTCATTTAATCCAAGGCAAAAGAATAAGGCACCAGCAAGAGAGAGATTTAGGCCCCCCAAAACCCCTTGATTTTACTTTGGCTTCTTCTTTTTTTTTTAAGATTTGTGTATTTATGCATACAAGAGCTAAGGTGCAGACCAGAGATGGGGGGGAGCATGGTGAGAGGATTCACCAGTGACAGAGTGGGGAGCAGAACAGGCAGATGTACTGAAATACACCTGAGTGGAGCAGCGGGGGAGACAGGAGAGGTCTGCTGCGCCAGGTCCCTGGCCAGAGATTGAACTCATGCTGCAGTGGCTGTACATAGCTTCATAGTGCTGCATCTTAACCCCTTGCACCACGAAGGAGGCCTATTCGATTTCTTCTTTATGGGGCTTCAGATTTTATAGCTTTCCCCTGCTTTGGGGTGTTTGATGAAATGCTTCCATGACAACAGGGAACATGGGTCTTTTACCATTTCTCCCCAGAGCCTTATTCATAGAATTTCTAGTCTATTTATTCATTTAAATGCATAAAAGAAATGTATGTACTTGCATTTTTAAAAGGCAAGCAGCCACCACCTTAACCTTGCACTCATCCTCATGCCCTCCAAATACCACCTTGACCAGTCCCTGTTTTTAATGATTTATTTATTTATTTATACAAGCACTGGGTACAGTCAGAAGTGCAGGAGGGTGAGAGAATTCATCAGAGCCAGAGCGGAGAACAGAACAGGCAGACAGACAGAGGACACTGCTGAGGGGAGCAGCGGGCGTGGCAGAAGAGGTCTGTCGCGCCTTGTGGGACCCTCGCCGGCGGCCGGGGATGGAACCGACGCTGCGGAGGCTGCGGGCAGCTTCACAGGCCAGCGCTCAACCGCTGCGCCAACAGGGGAGGCCCTCCCTGTTTTTAATTTTGGGTTGATTGCCTTCATACATGTTAATTTAGCAGTTTTATCAAGTGTTGTGCACTCTGCGTTATATAAAAGCTGAGGACTTTATTTCACTTCACTGACTCCCAAGGCTCTCCTCAAGTGTCAGCACATATACACTGCCTGAAAGGGTGAGGAGACAACCCAGTTTCCACTGGATTCCTTCACCCAAACTGAGGCATCCTCCTCGGGTCTAAACCACAGGAAGCCAGCCTCTGCCAGTGGCTCTTCAGCACACTCACCACCTCCCTGTTCATTATAAAGCATCCTACTTAGACACATTTGAGTTTTAACAGGTCTCAAGGCATTAGCTGGGGGGGAGATGGGTTGTAATGCTGGATTGTGTAAGGGTTTAGGCTTGCTCTTTAAATCCTGTAGGATGTCTTGGAACTTTTTAGTGAGCTGCCCCTTAGGACTGGGCAAGATGAAGATGGTGGGCCTATCCTCAGTGACTATGGATCATCCACTGTTTTTATTATGTCTGCCTTCTGAGACTTTCTCCTTGGCTTTGTTGGATGTATCAAAACAAAACATCTCCAGGAAAAATTATCAAAGGCTCTAAAATAAATGTGTTGTTTCAGATTTCTTCTAAGCCAGGGAAGGAACGTCCCTCTGACTAACGTCTGATAATATAAGCCTCACAGGCCAGCCCCTTGGACATGCTGACTTAGGGCTCCTGCCCGCTTTCCTCTCTCCTCGTTTCATCTCTGTCTCTGATGCAATCAGCACGCTGGCCTTAGGTTCACCTCGGCTTTGTTTTATTTCTTAAGGACAGAAAAAAAAAAAAAACTCTCTTGGTTTTTCAAGTGAATTGAGGATTAGATCGTCTATGCCAGATTTTTGAAATCTTAGAGTTTGAAAGTCTCTCTTATTTAAATCTTGCCTGAGAGTGGGTCACAGAAATGTGGATTCTCACCCAAGATCTGATTTGATAGTGCTGTTTGATTCTTAGCTGTAGTGTCCTAGGAAAAGCATTTAAATTGGAATTGGAAAAGCTTGCTTGCATTTTTCATGAGCTGTTGACTTGCTGTGCAACTCTGTGTAAGGTCTCTCACCTCTCTGTGCCACAGTTGTCTCAACTGAAAAGTGAAGATACTAACAGTACTTAGCTTGAAGAGGTATGGTACTGGTGCATAATAGTTGCTCAATGAACCCAACTCCTCTCAGACTCATTGTGTCTAAAACCAGTTTTCTTACCTGGTTTCTTTTTTTTTTTTTTAGATTTATTTTATTTATTTATGCATACAAGAGCTAGGGTATATGCCAGAGGTGTGGGGCTTGGGGGTGAGAGGATTCACCAGAGACAGAGTGGGGAGCAGAACAGACAGATTGCCTGAAATACACTGCTCAGGGGAGCAGCAGATGAGACAGGAGAGGTTACATGTTGTACCATGTAGGTTAGCTCCCTGGCCGGGGATTAAACTCGTGCTGCAGTGGCTGCTGATAGCTTCATAGTGCTGAGACTTAACCCCTTGTGCCACTAGGGAGGCCCTCTTATCTGGTTTCTGAAACCTACCATAACTCCTAACCCAGTTGATGGCAACCCAATCTCCTATTTCCTTATGGCATGCTTGACTCTTCCTCTCTCACTTCCTGTCCAACATGTCAGCAAATCCTGACTCTGCCTTGAAAATATATTCTCAATCTGATACCTGGTACCATTTCACCCACAGTCTCCATTGTCCTAGCTGCCATCATCTCACCTAGTTACTTGGTTAACCACATTAATTGGGTTCCCTGCTTTTATCCTTGTTTGTCCATTGCCAACACTTTAGCCAGAGCAATCCTTAAAAAAGTGAGTCCAAGTTTATCACCCCTCCACTCAGACTCAGCCATGGTTTCTTGTGAGGGCTGCTCTCCAACTGTTTCACCCTGGAACTGAGGTATCAGTGCTTTACATATTGAAATCCTTCAGTTCATAGCCTGGCCCCCAAATGCCATTCCCTTGTAATTCCCCTGAAATCTACCAGCGCATCTCCCCACAGTGCAACTCAAGGGGTAATGATTGGCACTTGGTAGGGGGAGCTGTAGGATGCTGCTTCCGTGTGATGGCCAGACATCCACGCTGGTGGACTGGTTCTGTGCTGTAACGGCTTGCTGTTAAACATTTTGAGTAACACCTGTGTTTGACATCTCATTCCCACAAAATGTCACATCCCCATACTAATGGAATTCTTTTCTACGTTTTTGACTGCATCTCTTACCACTCCCAGACTTGTTCATTCCATACAAGCCACAAATGCCTTTCAGTATTTCATCAATCAAACTACATGTGTTCTGCCTCAGGCTCTTTGCACTTGCTCTTTCTCCTACCAGTCATGCCCCTGCCCCAGATATCCGTCTGACCAGCTCTTTGACCTCCTGCAGCTCTCTGCTCAAATGTCACCTTCTTAACAATGTTCTGACTTGCCCCTCTTCACTGGTACATCGAGAACAAATCATTGTTCTCAATCATAATTTTTTCTCCATCTGACATGTTATGTATTTACCTGTGTATTCATCTATTGTCTGTCTCCCTTCTCCTTACCAACTGGATTGCAAACTACCTCAGAGTAGGAATTTTGTCTGTTTGGCTTTCTGCTTATCTCCAGTGACTGGAACAGTGTTTGACACATAGCAAGTTTTCCATAAGTATTTCTTGCGTGAATGAACTACTCAGTGCCCAGGTTTTCTCATTTGCGTAATAAGGAAAAATAATAGACTTTGGATACATTGTAAGGATGAAATAAAAAATAAAAAAAGTACCTTGTCAGCCTTAAGCCTCTGAATAAAGGGTAGTTGTTTGTTGTCAGTGTCCTGGTTCATAAATATTTGTGACCACAAGCACCACCTTCCTACAGCACATGGTACCCTACATGGAATCTCTAAATGTTCTGCCCTGATGTCTTGGGTGCCCATGGCACTGCCTGTGCCCTGGATTCTGAGTGACCAGAGAGGTTTCTCAGGGCCTCAGGACAAAACAAGTGGTCAACAACCTTGGCAAATCTGAGGCATGTTCTTGCCGCTCTTCACCCTTCCCCTGTGGACATGGCAGGGCAGTGCCAGTGGTCAGTGTGTCCCAGACCTGGCACCTGGCAGCCCAACAGAGGAAAGACACAGCCAAGGAAGGACCTGACCCACTGAATTCTCTGTGCTGGGGATGCAAAGTCCAGCAGTCATCACAGGTTACACCTATGGCGGCACCTACATAACTTTACAGGAATGTCTCTAGATATTAAAGATTTGCTTCTCTTGACCTTTTGGAGACCTGCCCAAGAGTCATGGGCAAGGCAGGGAAAAGCATGCAATGAGCTTTGTGTGGAAAACATCTGTGTTCCCCCATGCAAGTGTTGCTGAACTCCATCATCCATTCACATTTCTTTACAAACAAGGACAAATTGGTGCCATGCAGCTGTGTGTTTGGGGTCTGGACTGCAGTCCCTGCTCTAGGGTTAAAGCTGCTTAGGATCTGGGGAGACGTGGGTCTGGCCACTGGAGCTGAACCCACCTCTGGAGCTCGCACCCCCTTGAATTCGCAAGAGATGGTCGATGTCTTCACTCTCTCCTCTTAGAGTAAACAGGAGAAAGAGTGAATACTCTTAGTTCAGTGATGGAGAGTGGCCTGGCTTATTCCACAATCCCCTCTTGCCCTTCTGGACTTGTGGGAATGAGGGGTTTTGGCATCTTCCCTGGACCAATCCTAAGAATGTGGGAAACAGTAAGATCCTGGAGCCTGCTCCCAGGAGTATTATCCCCACCCCGAGGCCCCAGTCCTCATTCATGCATTTTATATAGGCATCCTCTTGGCAGCTGTGGGACAGAAGTTTGATTTTGCAAGGGTCAGGGTCCTTAGGTTTACACAATGATACCTACTTTTAAGTTTGTGGAAAATAATTTTGGAAAGCAGGTCTTACTTTCCATGTCATAAAAATATTTCTCTCTAGTAGAGCATCCTGACAGCTCAAACAAATATAATATGAGACTACTACCTGCGGCTTATTTTTTTTCTCTCTCGGTTGGTTTCTAATGCTGCATTTATAATCTTCTCTAACTTGCTGTGACCACACATATTTAAAATTCCTGTATCAA